GAGGGTGGGCCAAACGCTGCGGGAGCTGCTGGTCTCCGGGGAAAGCAGCAGGCCGGGCACAGAGCGCGGTTAAGAGGCTGTTTCCCCTCGGAGAGGGGCAGGTGCCCGGGGACTGTTCCGGCACAGCACGGATCTAAAAGCCCCTGCGAAATCCACATGGTCCCTAGGCAGGTCCTGGCGTCAAGCTGCCGTGGGCGGCAGGTCCCGGGGCCTGCAGGCAGCCCATGGGCTCCTGCCGCCCAGCCCCTGGCTCCCAGCGCTGGCTTCAAATTCCTCTGTCTCAGCGGGAATCAAAGGGTTTCAACCCCGCTTACAGCTGCGCTGGCAGGTGTCAGGGTCATGGTGCAGGAGGCCTGGGGAGCGCTTCCCTTTCTAGTTTCCACGTGAACACAAAGTCCAGTAAGGGGCCTTTCCCAGCTCCGGTACAGGTGTTTCTACAGTAAGGTCATCTTCCCCTTTAAATAACGTTGCTGAAACCAAACTGGGACACGGCAATAAAGCTACTCCATGGGAGCAAGAGACCTTTCTATAAAGTCATAGAGAGGTGCTGTCAGGACCAAACAGTTCAGTGCTGTTAGACGGAGCTGTGCGGAACCTGCTGCAGTCTGTGTGTGGGGTAGGAAAGGCAGCAGGAGTAAAGGAAGACGAACAGGTGATGCAGAGGCTGCAAAACTTTCTGACAGGAGGCTGGTTCCCCCTTCCAGTGACTGCAGTTTAATTTCAATTAGTCGCTTAGCAGCTGGAAGGCAGGAGCAGAAGTGGGGGGGAGGGGGGTCCAGGTGAAGCCCAGCAGCAGGGAGAGGTGGGGAGCAGAGGCAAGGGGAAATTGACTAATTCTGCTCAGTTTCCTATTGCATCCTGCTCGGCTTATGCAGAGGAGAAACTGACTAATCCTGTTCCTTTGTATCTAGCTCTACGTGGATGTGCAAGAGAAAACTCCAGGATCCTACAAGGACTTTATGCGTAGCACCACCCACCCTGAACATTCAAAAAACATGTGTAAGGCCCCTCAAATCCTGGGATAAATTCCTTACACTGGGTTCCTGCTTTGAGCTGGGGGTTGCCCTAGAGAGACTCAGGGTTCCTGCCAGCTCTGTTTTTTGTGGTCTATTTGCTTTCTGACTTTTCAGGCTCTAGGAATCACATTGACAGCTATTCCTTTGCAGCCACAAAAGCTAAAATATATACATATATTTATGACAGATGAGGTTCTCCTGAAGTTGATGCTTGAAGTGGGGAGGGAGCAAAACCATCAAATATTCCCTGACTAAGTAGCAGTTCATACACATGCTTAACTTTATGCATTGTCTGAATGGACCCATTGAAATAAACAGGACTCCTTACAACATCAGGCTAAGTTCATGAGGACAACTTTGCAGAATCAGGACTGTAAATTGTTTTCTTCCCTTTGCCATCTTTATAAAACACCGAACTGAGGAAAAAGGCAGGAGCAAAGAAGGGAGAAGGAATGAAAAGGGAAAAGTGAAGATTGTAAAGGAACAAAGTAGAGAACAGGAAGGGCTGGAGGGAAGAAATGCAAAAATAACAGCACAGTAAGGAGATGAGAATGCAGAAGAAAGGAAAAAAGTGCAGGGACAGAAGTTGTTGGAAAAAGGAAATAAGAGAGAGCTTGCTCTGTGGACTGCTCCTTACTGTCCTGCTCAGCCCCAGGATAGACCTCATAAAGCTTTCCTGTTCTGATTGTACATCCGTCAGTTGTGTCTCAGATTATTATTCTTATAGCACTATCAGCTACAACTAATATTGTATTTATGACAGACATCAGACAAAAGCTTTGTGCCAAGGCAACTAGATATGAAGACAAATCCCTTTGTCAGGCCAGTCAATTCAATACATTTACAGGGGCCCAAATTCCAATCCCTCTAGTCAAAGACAGAATCTGTATGGTAAACTTACCATCCTTAAGGGTAGCAGCTTCAAGCATACTGTTCTGGATGAGCTGCCTCCTAAATCTGAAGCATAGTAGCCACATTCCTGCAGCATTTGGGGCAAGCTAATTCATGTTTTTGCATGACTGAGAGACAATACAGATTAGTCTGCTTCAAGCTTATTAGTCCACCTGGGCCAATGTGGCTACACTGCTCCTGGTTTAGGAGCAGCCTACCCAGAGCAGTGTACCATGCTTGAGGGAGCCCTTGGGCATAGTAAGGGATGCCTACATTGTGGTGTATGCCCCAACTAGGACAGCTCCGAGCATACTTCACTCATCTACTGCAGAAATGCTCAAAACACGACAGGTACCAGGGAGACTGCTCCATGGCTGCTCTCAAGCACTATGGAAATGAAGGGCTGGAGAGTGGCTTCTCATCAGCTTTCTAGTCTGAAACATGCTGGTAGAAGTAGCTAGGTGGGGCATGGTACCACTACAGTACCAATATGTTTCAAGCATCCTACAGACGCAGAGCTGGAAGCTCTCATTGGATTCAATGGGAATTTGCTTTAGGGAGAATTAAGAACCACTGAGCAGGAATCTCAGGGTTTGGCCCAATTATTTAACAAGGGTTTCCTGACATGTCTGCCTAGCTAGAGGGCTGCTATTAGCTTCTCTGCTATTGTCCAGCCAAGGTAGTAAGCAACCAAAGTGGTCTGCTAGTGGCTTTTCTTGCAGCCCACTGAATAGAAGTGATGGGTGGGTCACTGGCCAGTTTCTAACATACAAACGTATGTAATATTAAAAAAAAAAGACCCAAAAACATGCCACTGCTATCCAGCCACCTTATTCTGGGGGAGAACAGGGATTGAGTAGAGCCAGAGGAAAGAGCTCCCCGACAGACAGGAGTCCTTCCAGGTGACAGATGAGACATACATGGGTGGATCAGTATAAGAGAAACTTGCACTGCAGCTGCCTATGCTGGGAATTCCTTTTTTCTGGAAGCAGCGTCCTTTTAAACACTGGAACATTGCTTTTATTTACAAAGTAGCTTCTTGCCCCCTCTGCTGATCACAAAAGTATTGTCCAGTATCTCAGGATTCCACCTCTAATGTTGGCCAGTTCTACTGAAGAATTACCTTCAGTGGAAATGGGTTCACAGCAACTGAATTGTGTCAGTTTTTATCAGTGAAAATGCATTCCTTGAAGGCTCCTGGTGATAAACAAAACCACAACAGCAGCCCTTGAATCACCAGCCCACCCCACGAGGTTACAGAATGTTTCTCAATTTGTGGCTAGTTTTCAGTTGAGCAGGAGACTGTGCTGCATAACACGACCAGCATCACCAAAGGCGCCTATTTTCTGTTAAATAAAATTCTTTAGCATGCAAGAGAGTCATGGTGTCTGCTGGAAAATGTAGTTAGAAGGCAAGCCCATAGTAATAGGATGCTATGAGACCCCTTCCAGCTCACAGCAAAGCTTGGGAGGCCACCAGTTCTTCCCTGGTGGGATGCATCATCTATCTGTACTTGCTTCTTCACTTCTGAGCTGAGCCCCTGGTGCTCTAGGGTTGACCTGGCAGAAATTGGAGTACAGTGGAGTGTGGTAGTTGCACATTTCCTGTATCTCTGGAGGACAAGCTAGAGCAGGGGCGGACAATTATTTTGGGCAGAGGGCCGCTTACTGAGTTTTGGCAAGCCATCGAGGGCCACATGACAGGCAGCCCAGGGCAGATTAATATTAATTTTCTAAATTTTGTAGGGGCCCTGCGGGCCAGATAGAATGGCCTGGCAGGCCGCATCCAGCCCCTAGGCCGCATTTTGACCACCTCTGAGCTAGAGGCCTGAACCTCCAAGCCCTTGTCCCCTCCCCACTGTTCCTCCACTGGGGGGAGGGGGAGGGAAGGGGAGAAAGACAAGCCAAGCATCTGGTTTTAGGAGGTATACACACAGAGGTGGGTTCTGTGTCCTTTGTTACTAGCTGCCCTGCCCCTGGTTGCCCAGTACTGTGCCACCACAGGCTGACAGAGATGGGGGTGGGGAGGTCCGGATACCAGGGAGACCACTCATGAACAGCCCACTGCCTGCAGGGAGGAGCACAGCCTGCCAAGGCCCCTGCACCAGTTCCAGCTCCAGGAGAGAAGCAGCCCTGGGAAAAGTGACTGGGTGTATAGCATCCCCC